ATGAGTTTCTCTTGGAAAATTGGTTCCTTCCCCCTATTTTCGCATTTTTCTGATTTTCTATCCAATATATTCGTTTAACTCAGATGTTACTGACTAAAATCATGCAAAATGAATCTAGCGTCAGTAAAACATACTTACCTTTTCGTATTGAAGCCGACAAAGAATAATTCAGCTTTTAGAAGCTGAAAACAACAGACAATCAGGTTAATGGGCGTATCAGCCATTATCGATCGCGACAGGCGTCGGACCGCTTGCCAACGTGGACGTAGGACCCCATCCCCCCACCGTCGGATGAGCTAACCACTGTACTTCACTCTGTTCCTAACTTTAACTCTCATTGTCAGTCGCGACTCATTCGGTTATTATTCGTGACTGATTTTTCATCGTGTGTTGTACTCCAGGAATGAAATGGAATAAAACAGTTGCGTAATCGGGAAAACGAGAACAATTTAGGTGAAACATGCATGACGGCTCATCAAATGCAGATAGTTGCATCAATCTTGAATGTCAAAGACGGAAAGGGATACTCAAGATGAAGTAAAAATAGAAAATAAAAAAAAGCTCGAAGTACGAAAGGAAAGCAACCGGCGTACCGTGGCATTGGAGCGCGCTGGTAATTGTAGCGCGTTGCAGCACGTTACTGCGCGTCGCCGCGCTTTAACGTGCTGTTGAGCACGATGAAGCGAAGTCTGGACGCTGCCTGAAGCTTAGACGACCAGACTTATCAAGGGACAGCCCCGCAGGGCGCAGTCTATACTAAGCCTAAGTAATGATAAGGCAGCGTTAAGATTTCGCGATGACGGCGCTTCGGTCGCGCGTTCGACGCGATCGATGCAGTCGAAAGCATGCGCATCGATCGTCGAATCGCGCGACCGAAGCGCTGCAGTCGCGAAGTCTGAACGCTGCCTAAGGGAAGGGTACGAAGACGCTGCCGGCTGATCCCCTCGTACCGCTCGACCACGTTAGCGCCGAGGATTACACGTCATAGATCCCTGCTCTTTAAAGCCGTTTGTGTGTTTCACTAATTGTGTTTCTCAGTGTTTGGGAAGAGTTTTAGGTTTCATTAATACTGTGCAATGGAAGAAGAAGGAGAATCTGAGAAGGCGATTCGACGTTCAGAATACACGTCTAATTGTAAGTATATATCGATCTGACGACTCGGGAAATGAGAGAGTAGCAGAAATGGCTACAAATGCGCGCCAAAGGAATGGATGGGTATCGATCGACTTTGGTCGCTCGTCGACGTTTTGGGGCAGGCTTTTCACAGCAATGCACATTCGCGCGGGGACCTACACAGCTCCCCTTTGAAAATCTATACCGTACATGCATTAGCCTGCGTATTCCAACATGACGCACATAAAAGGAGTGGATCGGTGACAGGCTTTCTTATAACATAGCATCCCTTTGGGACGAAGAATAGTGAATTCATGGCTAACACGGCGCAGAGGAATGCAGTAGATGTCGTTAATAC